ACCTTTTGATCCCCTTCTAGGGATAGATTTTGGAATCAAGTTTGCCAGGTGAGTTCCACTTGAGCCTGGAATATCTGTGGCTGGATCTCTACTCATAGTTATCTTCCTAGAGTCTTGTTTGTTTTGTCTTTCTCTAGGAGAAGGTTGCATTGACGTTATTCTTCTCTTTTTCAGACCCACCCCAGGCAAGGGTAGGGACTCACTGAGCTCTTTCTACCAGGAGGTCTACCTAATCTCTTCTTTGGTAGAGGTTGGGAGATGGGTATATTTTCACCTACCGGCTGGTCCTCTTCTTCAGTTATGGTCAATGGACCCAATCTCTGGCTAACCGGAACTCTTTCTTGGGATCTTATTATATTTGCAGCTTCAGCTTGTTCTAATGAAGATCTCACCATCTGAGCAGCTGTTTCCACAAATTCTCCTTGCTCCTCTGAGAGTCTAGCTCTCTCTTTCCTAACAGCACTTTCTGTAGGGTCTGCACAGTTGGAGTATTGTACCATTACCTCCCGGAGTTCTCGAAGGGCTACTTGGACTGCTTCTTGAGGGATTTCATCAGGGTCAAGTCTCTCCTGTCTCTCTAGAGGAGGCCTCCTTGGTCTTGGGTAATCAGAACGCTCCTGTGAAGATAATAATGCTCTATGTAACTTTTTCCTTCTCTTTTCCATCCAAATTGGTCTTTGCACTGGTACTTCCCTTCTATATTCAGTCTGGAAAGAGCTCTTAGAGTAGGCAGAATTCGGAGACCCTGAGTAGTTCGGGTTATGGGAGTATCTACAATTATACTCTCTCGACTGGTGGCTTCCAAGTCTGTAGCTGTGATGTTCATTTCCTTGCTCTCTGTTGTAGGAACCCCTCCTCTCTTTTGAATCCTGTAACTGGTCTTCTCTGCTATATGCCTTGTAGGTTCTAGCGATATTGGTCTCTTTCAGTCTTGGTTCATCTCTAGGGTACTTTGGGAGCCAGTCTCTTCTTCTTGGCTGATCCACCCTATTAGTTTTTACTCTTATACGCTCTTCTTCTTTTACAGGTACCTCAGGGCAATCTTTGGCATCATGATCAAGGCAACGACACTCTTTACAGTGCCTCTCTAGTTTCTCATAGATAAGGTATGCTTTCACTTCATCTCTTGTGGCAAACTCCAGGATAGATGTCATCATCAGGGGCTTTAGTCCATCAATTTCCACTCTCATCCGAGCTGATGTTTTGGTGATTTCAGAGGTTTCAAATTTCCCTATGTTCGTTGCTAGGCTGAGCAACATTGGCTTCGACCACAGATGACTTGGTACACCTTGTATCGTTATCCAGAAAGGTATTTTCGATGGAAAGGATCTTGCAACAATTGGTTCCCATCTCTCAAGTATTATCATCCAGTGAGCAAAGTGGTAAGGCCTATTCTCCAGCACCTTTTGTAAATCTTCTTCTGTAGCAAACTGATACTGGAATCTTCCTTGCCTTAGGTCAGCACCAATGGGTCTTGAGGCTACTTTCCAGTGGTCTGCTAAGAAAGGGAGCAATGCCCACATCTTCTGTATTTTCGGGTTGGTAATTCTTCCCACCAACATCAGGTCATGGTTATGTATTAGCTCTGCTCTATCGAACTCTGGGACCTTCACTCTAGCTGCTCTCAGAGGTTCCACAGATATGGCCAGGCCCTTTCCTTTCTCTGCCGTGGATAGTCTTCGATTCATTGTCTTTGTAAGGTAGAGATCTTATATCTTGGTTTCCAGAAGAAATCTTTTGAGTGGATTAGTCTAATTTGTAACGTAATCTTTTGGTAAGAAGTCACAGCAAGACACGTCTCTTACCACCAAGATACTTTTGGAGTATTGATTTAGCTCATTTTTTCTCCAGATTCATAAAATGAGGTTTCGGTTACCTATTGTTCTGGTTCAAACCACCGGAAATTCGTCTCTCTTCCGAAGTAAGCTTGTTCAAACCAAGTTTTTGATGTAAAAAATTCACACCGGGTTTTTGTTGTAAACAAACAAAAGTAGCTTATATGGTAGTGGTGACAATTTTTTTTTTTATAACTCAGGGTAAATTTTAGGCCTATGGAGGGTCAGACTAATCTTTAGGAGAGGTACAGTCTATGGATAGACCCTCTATTCGGATATGCAAATGTGCCGAAAGCAAGGGGTCCATATCCATGTGGGTGTCCAAACCAATGTGTTTTTAGTTTCGCGTAACATATGGATCAAACTTGTAACGTGGCGTACACGTCACAAGCTCCTCTCCTTTTGTCTTTTGTCATCGTATATACTGGAATTTGAATTGGATTCATCTCAAGCTTATTTCAAGCTTACCCATTCCATTTTGAAAAGTGCATTAAAGCCTCCATTTAATTTCCTTATTCTTTAAATTTAAGATTCTGTGGGCGAATTCATGCATGCGCCAATAGAGTGGCTCTATGCAATGTAAGATTGGATTTAAGGGTATGCATGGGGTAGTTCAGCTTCTTAAATGCAACTCCTCCTTCTTTCTCTCTTTTTTTCCTTTCTTTATAAATTGCTCTTTTTCTCACTCTCCACACTACTGTCCATTTCAAGCTCTCAGTCCATAAAAACAAATACCAAACAAATAATATCCATAAGTAAAAAAAAAGGTTTAATTAGTAGTTCTTCTTTTTTTGTTAAAGGATTTTCATTAATTAGTAGTTCTTCATGGGCATTGCTCTGATTATTCTTCTAAAATTCACAAATGATGTTTCTATTTGGATTCTTGGTGCAATCTTGATCATGTCAAGAACGGTAAAGAGAGCTTTGATGGGATTATTCATCTTCATTCTTGCTTCTGGTAAATTTACAAGTGATCTTCTTCTTTTTTTGAAATGTATTTACAAGTGATCTTGATTTGCTTTTTTCTTTCTTTTTCTTCATGGCTAATCATCATCATTTAAGGGTTTTGTACCGTTTTTTTAATGTTATATTTATAACATATGCCCATTAATTTAATGCATTTATAAAGATGAAACGTGAAAAACCATCATTAGGTGTCGTGTTACATATTTATTTACTCTCTTTTTTCTTTCAGTGTATTATGTGTGTGTGTGAATGTCTTCATCTTCTCAAATAGTATTTTGTAGAGCGTTGTTGAAGCAAATTTTGTTCCAAAAATTGTCTACAAGTCGGGGGGATCTTTTGTTTTCATTTCGTTAGCCTTAATTCTTTTACTTGAATTAATGACATGTTGTCGAGGCAGATAAGACAATTGATTCAATAAGATTTTAGTTGACAAAAAATAACAAGGCAAGAATGTACAAAAACTTATTCATATGAATACAATTAAGATGGTGGGGACCAAAATGTGTGTGATATGGTCACACCCACTATGTATTCATGCCTACCTTAATTGAATTCAATAACTTTTCTCATTTATGGATTCTCTACTCTTAAATTCTAGTTCTTTTACACAAAGACACTTTATTGTTTAGTTATATATGTATTATTTAACATATCACATGGGTTGATTTCAGCCAAATTCTTAAGTATAACATTTTTATAAGATCACTAACTGTCACTAATTTTTGGATGTATGTAGCTAGTGTTTTGGTAGCCGCCATTGTAGGAGCAATGGAAGGTCACACCACAGATATCGGGTTTATTCAAGGCGGGTTGCTAGGCGTGGTGGCTGGAGTTATCACCGGGATCCAACTCTTTGGTCTGATGCTACATGATGATCAACCTTTGTCTAAGGTGATTGTGACTCTATATATAACCCTAGACTATAAAAGTAATTAATCATATGCTTTTAATTAGAAAGTGGGGGTGGTGTTGTGAAGAAAAACAAAGAATGAATGATATTTTATTTTACTATTTTAGTAATAAGATTAGTGGTTAAAATAGTTTGGTGACAATAATTAATAAGAAATCTGAGCAGGTGGCTTTACTGAGGAGAGTAGTGAGTGGGAAAGCCATCATGGGATTGGTTAGACCGGCTGTTCTCAAAGCATATCAATGGCAAGTAAGTACTCCACTTTTTTTTTTTTTTTTCTGATTAACATTTTTTGTTTGGGTTTAAACCTAATACAGGATTATGTGATACAATTTGACCGTGTGTAACATTATAATTGTAATAGTAATGCGGTTGTGTCACCATCTGAGTTCGATTTCAATATATATATATATATGTGAGTTATCGATAAAAAAAATAAAAATCTAACTAGCCAACACAATTGCAGATAAGTGGTTTGGATACAAGTTACATGGAGATATCAGACATGTACGACTTTGACCAAGAAACAAAAGGATTGTCGAGAAACTTTGTTCAAAACATTCCGAAGTTTTACAGTTGCTCAGACCATCAAACCACGAGTTGTCCGATTTGTTTACAGGTAAATGAACTATAATTAAGATCATATACGAATCGGATTACTAAAATGTTAATATAATTTCATCACTCATTTTTATTTATGTTGTAGGATTGGGAAGAAGGGGAAGTAAGAAGAAAGCTAGAGAGATGTGGCCATACATTCCATATGAATTGCATAGATGAATGGTTGCTTAGGCAAGAGACTTGTCCCATGTGTAGAGACCATCTTTCATATTACACTTCAACTACTTAAGTCCATCTCCATATATTTTTTTGTTTTAATAACTAAAAAAATGCTTGTATATATTATTTCCTAAGCAATTTGCATGTGAGAAGAATTGTTGTACAAATAAAAAAGGAATTATAAATAACATGTTATGGATAAACTCATTGGATTGCCATGGGCTTTATGGCCCAGTGGGTCCAAACTTTATATTTTAAATTTATAATATCTTAGTAATATATGTACCTAACTAAGGGTAAAATCGGAAATATAAAAAACGTTTTGGACGGAGAAGAAGACAAAAGAGACACGAGAATCATCTGCTTAAAATCCAATCGCATCAAACTCAGTCTTCTTCTTCACCTACCTTTCTCTCTCTCTCTGCTATTTGGTCCTTTACCTCTTGCCGGCGCCGGAGAGACTGAGATGACTTGGTCGGTTTTCAGATCCATAAACTCTCCGACACTCGACCTCTCCTCCGCACTTCGCTCTCCACGTAGCCCATTGGTCGCCGCCGGTGTCGGCTGCGCAACATTCGCTGGTGTTTCACTCTTCCGAATGTCTTCTTCTAGATCTCCTCCTTTCGCTTCTCTCAGTGTCTCCGCTGCTTCTGGTAATGACTTCATTTCTCTTCTCTCCGATTTGGATTTCTCCTCTCCTAAAATTGGCTTCCAAGTGTCTCTCTACTTCCTAAAGTTTTGATTTTGATGAATGTCCGGGTCGGAAATTCGAAATTGATTTCGATTATCTTCAATGCGTCTGTTTGTTAGTCTTGGGTCTTAGTTCTTTCCACATTTTGATTTTGTATACAAATAGGGTTTACTATACAAATGTGAGTTCTTAGGAGGATAATGAGAGTTGGTGATGAATGAAAAATGCAGGTAAGAAGGAAGTTGTGGCTACAGAGAAAGCACCAGCTGCATTGGGACCATACTCTCAGGCCATCAAAGCCAATAATCTTGTTTTCCTTTCAGGTGTTCTTGGACTTATCCCTGAGGTTTGTTTCACGGCTTTGGTTTATTTTAAGCTGCTCAATAAAAATTCACAATACTCTCTGAGTTCTAAGATTACAAGATTCTCTTTTTGTTCTCTGTGTGTGTATAGACTGGAAAGTTTGTTTCGGACGGCGTTGAAGATCAGACTGAGCAGGTGAAGTAGCTCTCAAACTTTTATCAGAGTCTCTGTAAAGATTGGTTTTGTTTACATTACTTGTCACTCTCTTCTCTGGTTTGTTTGCGTGATTTATCAAACGTCACGGAGATTTTGATTATCGGTGAAGTTGTAATAAGTAACTATAGTGCCTAATTTAAACCGAGCTTAATGGGATATCGATCTTCACAACACAAAACTCACTAAGCCTCTGAAACTTTTGAACGTCTTGATTCGGTATTACTGTATTAGTAGTCTTCAAATTAAATTCCAGTGTTGTTGTAGTAAGGTTAAGTTTATCTGTTTTTCCTTCCTGATGTTGTCTGCTTGCTTTCTACAATTTTTTTGGAATGTCGAAGGTACTCAAGAACATGGGAGAGATATTGAAAGCTAGTGGTGCTGATTACTCCTCCGTGGTGAAGACAACAATCATGTACGTTTTGTTCAACAGAATTATTATTCATGTGAATTGTCATTCTAAAAAACAAAATTTGATCTCTTTGATTATCTGTCACAGGCTTGCTGACTTGGGTGACTTCAAGAAAGTGAACGAGATATACGCCAAATGTGAGTTCTTTAATAAGATTGTTAGTGTTCCTACTGGTTGTGGAGTGGCTTAAGAATTGGTGTGAAACATTTTGAACATTTTTTGTTTCTGGTGCAGATTTCCCAGCTCCTTCTCCAGCACGATCGACATATCAAGTCGCAGCTTTGCCTCTAAATGCCAAGATCGAGATCGAATGTATTGCAACACTCTAGAACAACATCAAACTCTACGACGGGTTTTCGGTTTGGAAGATGTCAAAACAAATAAGAGAAACAATGGTTTGGGGAACTTATCTTATCAAACCCATTTTTAACCTACTTTCCATTTTTGCTGCACTGCAAAAAAAAAATGATGTGCATGATCAACCATTAGGTTGGTTGCCAAACCTAAAGCCCCTATTGAAGAATAAGTAATTTAGTATTTCTTTTTTGGTTTGTTCGGACCTTCATGTGCTGTTGACTTGATATGTATGTATTGAGTACAATGTTGATGCACCCTTAAGTCAGATTGTTAAGCTAAAGTGCAAAACCATGAGTCCACATTATTCTGTTTAAAGCAGATTTACTCTGTTTTATAACCAACTGATTCTGAGATAGATCTTGATATCGATCAGGTTATTTAGTACTCTTTTACCAACAACCAAAGAGTCTCATTGACAAAGAGGGTGTTATTTGATATTTCTATGAGAGAAAATAAAAAAAAAAAAACGCAAAAACAGATTCTTATTATTAGGTGGTTGATAAGAAAGCAAAAACATGGAGCTGCTGCAAGTTCCTTGGTTTATGAGAAAACTAATTAGGGAAGTACTTGGTTGAAGAAATTGCCTCTATTTCAACTTGAACCATCAACATATCATTCACAATGAAACCTTTTGATGAATCTTTGAGATCAGCTAGAGAGATAAACTCATGGTAACCCCAGCTATATCCTGCTCCATATCCCGGACCATTGTACCAAAGATCGACTGCCAGAAACAAGGAAGATCACAAGAAATGACTCATTAGTCATCACCAAGGTTTCCGTAGCCATTAAATATATTTAGATATGTATCATTTGCTTACGTGGCCTTTCGACGTTACTGAGTTGGCCTTGGTTAAGGACTCGAAGCTTGGCTCGAAGATAAATCTTCTCATAAGGTCTGAATTTCTCGTTCACATCAAGATTAAGATACATCGACAAGGCTTTTCCCTCTCCAGTGGCACGACCATTTGGATTGACTTGTATTTGCCTGATCATCATACAAATTACTTTGTTACTACACACCAATATACTCTAATGAAAGCTTATTAATTTTGAGATACTGTGGACTCACCAACTTCTTCCTCCAATGGAGAACACATCTGATAGGTAAACGTCTTTGAACAGCGTGGAGAATCCCCGAATGGTCCAGGTGAATCTCGGGTTTTGGAAATTCTCAGCGACAGAGAAAAGTTCTGATTTTTCAAAGAGAGAAGGAATGGTCACATCAACTCCAAACTCGCAGTGATCTCCATCGTAGAGGTATCCCTTGCTCGGGTCTTTAAATGTATCAACAGGGAGAACCTGAGAGAATCCCCACATTGTTTTGAAGACACTAAACTTCCACACATCGGTATCTGCAGAATATAACAAAGATCAATACGTAGATGTTACTATTATGCACAAGAACCCATATTTGCATTGAAAATTACAAAGTTAAAAACCTTGGATGGTGAAGTACTTCCTCTCGTTCTTGTTGAAGACGTAAAACCTTAGATCCGCGTAAACCTCTTGATGTGCAGCGACGAGTGTCGAGTTATCTATTGCCACGTAAAGCGAAAGGTACCCTGAACCACTATCTTGCTTGTTCCCGTTAGGGTACACAACCAGTGTCCTGTATATACACATTGCAATATGAGAGATCCATCAAAAGATTTGTCTTATATAAGATTCGATTCGAGCAAATAAACATACCAGTTGTATCCACCAACCGCAAAAGGACGAGATACGTATTTGTCTGTCGTTGACTTAAGGAGTGTGTTGAAAGATTCCATCTTGAGAGAGTAAGACGATGGAGGACGATCTCTCAGACCCTGAACTCTGTTTGAAGATGAGACTTTGTAATCACGAGACGAGATCTCTTGATGCTCATGTAAGACGTATTGTGCGTCTTCCAGGTTTGGATTGGGTCCTGCTCCATTATCCTCTGTTCAGAAAACAGAGCATTTGAAAACCAAAACAAAAACAGAGTTTGAAAATACACAGTCAATACACAGAATCTAAAAGACATAGGTTGGATAGTATTTTATATTGTATCAAATTTAAGAGCAAATAAGATTGCATACGTAGAAGATTTGTGTTGAAGCCATCAGTGAATTGTCGTATGAAGGATGAGTGTGCAGATGCAGATGTGATGAAGAGACAAAACAAGAGATAAGCAACACCAACATAAATGATGTTTGTGTAGTGACTCGTCATCTTTTGAAGTTTTGTGAATGAAGTCTCCAGAACAGAGGCT